AACGATAACGATGATGATATCGCGATATTGCGACACCAAACAAAAAAGGAGCGATATCGATCGCAATATATAAATTGAGTTGCAGCTATTTTGGTGCGGTAACCGGGCTCATAACTGTGGTGAGAGGCGAATCTTGTCTCAGGGAGGGAGATGAGGAGCTGAACTGGTTGATTGAAGATGGCCAGCGGGCCATATTTATGTACATGAAAAAGGGGTATATCAGCTGATATCCAGCGTGATATCCGGCGTGATATCGACCGTGATATCGTACGTCGATATCTGATACAGCTCGGCAGACTAGCCGAAAATCCCCATGACAGGAGCACGTGAGAGTGGGGTGGGGATTGCTGGCTACGACGCAAGACTGTAGCACAACATGTTCTCTGGATGCACTATACCAATCAAACTCTCTTATGAGATAGAGGGCTGGTGCGAAAGATTCTCTAGAAATGCTTCTTTGAATAGACATGGTGAGTGATAGCTGTTAGATTTATCAATCGGATAGTTAGACTGAAGACCAGCCAGTGGATTTCTTTTTTGCCAATAGATAGTTTGACAATGAGCAAAGTACATACTGCATGGGTACGCAATGATTTGTTTCCCACTACTAAAGGACTACTTTACTCGGAATGGAGAGGATCAATTTACATTCCTAGGGTGATCTTGCATAAGACGCATGCACTGATAACGTATGCCCGGCTTAGTGTTGACCTCCTACCAACGTCTTTGCTGCAATTTTTTGCATACCCTTCGAGTTCGAAAGAGTGAGGAAGCCGTGCAATACGCGAGCCTTCCCCCATTTGTCACTAGCTTATCGTTTCTTCCCCATAACCTCCACCTCCGACGCAAAATCTGCCAAATAGAACCAGAACGGTGAGAAAAACGGCACACCTATCAAACTAATAAAAGTCCCTTAGCACCAATCTCATAACATCTCAGAGCCCCAAGCATCATCCTTCTGATCTATATTAAATACGCCTCATAAAATCTTAAAATTTTGGTAGAATGACAAGTTGTACTAGAAGGATATCAGCATCGGTGGTTTAGTGGTAAAATTAACCGTTGCCATTCTTTGACAGTCGGTTAGCCCCGAGTTCGATTCTCGGCCGATGCATTTTTTGTTTGACTTGTAGTCTCCCGGAGGGTTGCTACCGATCCTTTAGACCCACTTTTTGGCTTTGGTAGACATTCAGTCGTTGTCGAGACGCACATGATTCCGTCCTGAGATGTTGTATCTATTCATCCTTTGTAGAGGTGTGAGATTAGCGAGTGGAGAGGTAGGAAAGAGGGGTATCGGCACCGTGTGGTCAATCAACGAAAGTAGAGAAGGTCATGTCGAGGCGATTCGCACGTGGGGAAGCATTCCTTGAGTTTCTATTGTCATGTGAATACATAGAAATATATCTATTATCCGTTTGTACTTCCTATTCCTGTATTTCTAAATTGCTTTTTTGCTATTTCTATTTCCTTTTCCGACGGCCAAACCCCCTGCCCCAGCAGCGTATACCCGCTCTACCAAGGACCGACCTAAACGATCGAGACAAAGGGTCTTGAGTCTTGAGGATTCCTAAATGAAGCCCTTTCGATGATCAAATTCGACTCGGTATCGGGTGAGCTTCCGAATGTATTGGCCTTTGATAATTTTCCTAGGGTATCTGTGCGCGTGGTGTGCCAACCACCTAAGAAGACCGAGGACGGCATGCAGCTCCCCAAACGCTACATATTAGTGTGGAAAGATGCACTTAAGGAACATGAGAAAAAATATGCACAGGTAAAATTGCTTGACGGGGGCTTTCGCGCCGATGCATAGAGTTTCCTTGTCGTCGAGCTTTTTGGCAAGGAAGTAGAGCTGTGCCCACACTCGATGCTGATCGTATGACTGACTGTCTTTGTCCTTGTCAATGTGTTCAACGTGTAGGGATTGAACTTGTGGTGAGAGGCGAATCTTGTCTCAGGGAGGGAGATGAGGAGCTGAACTGATTGATTGAGGATGGCTAGCAGGCCATATTTATGTATAAAAGGAAGGGTATATCAGCTGATATCTAGCGTGATTTGATATCGTATAACGGTATCTGATACAACCTGCAACCGGATAACTTGCTCCCGTACGATAGTCGGAAATCGTACTCAGTAGACTCGCTAAATTCCTATCACAGAACTTATAGTTCGAAACCCTCTAGGTGAGCGTTGGGGGGCATAATGATTTGATCCTGTGCTCTATTCCGTGCCGTGTTGAGCGCGTTGCAGAAGAATTGGACTTTGACGCAATGAAGGATTTGTGGACAACGAACGCTCTTTGCTCCTTGCCTATGTTTTCTCCATCCACCATGACTCTGGTGATACCTTATCCAAGCTTGTTACGCAATGTCAGCGATTGATACGACTAGTTAGCGATAAAGCCTTCCTTGAGAGTCATCCTCTTGGCGGTCATCTTTAGAAAGAGAGGTTATACACCTGGCTCGCTTTCTTCAAGGCTAGCGAGTGGTTGTAGTACTTAGGCATGTGCAGCTTACCTAGTTGCAAAGAATAAGTCGGTCTCACAGACGTATTCCTCCTACTCGCACTATCTATATATCATAGTATCAACTAGAGGCGGTGAAAGAGGCGGTAAAATAGACGAGAATCCAGAGTGAGCTGGCGTGTGACTTGGTCCAGGAGAAGAATGCTTGTTTTCGCCTGTCATGTTTCAGATACCCGGCGCCTAAACCCCACGATCTGTGTAATAGTCTCGTGTTCGGTGGCCGGAAGAGAATCAAATTGGATTCTAGAGTCTTGTGAATCGCGATTGGTTTGGATCAGATGTACAGAAATTCACCTTCGCCGGATGCTTCCTCGCTATTGAGTAGTTGAACTCCACTAAGCATCAGAAGATAAGAATCAAGCACATTCAGCACATAATGTCTACATACACCGGTGCATCACGTCACACGAACATCGAATTAAATCCTGAGAAACAATTATAGAATGCAAACTCAATCATCTGTTCAAGCACTATCATGATGTGGTACATGTGCTCGAATACTCATCCTCCCTATTCCTCAAAGAACCATCGAATCCATACCCATTAGCATTATCTAGTACCAGCAAGCTCTTTCATAACGCAAACCAGACAGACCCAATCCACAAGAGATAGAATACCCGAGTCTAATCCATCGACGTAATGGTGGAAAGCCGACCAGCTGGTACGAGGCGGTAGCCAGGTAAGACAACGTGCTGCAGAACAGAAGGCGTATACCAAGTCTCGCAAATGGGAAACCAGATAACGCCATAATCTTGGCCATGACTGAAGTAGATGCTAGGGTATGAGACTGGACGCTAGTATTCAGATATTGGACGAAACTACAGCCGTCCTAATTGCAAAGGTATGTAGTGTTAAAACAAAATCCCAAAGACCGTAACACATATTGTGAAAGGGAAATCACCGCGAGACGATTTGGTGCCGGGGTGTTGATATTGTGAAACTTGAATTCACAAACTATCGAGACTGTCTTAATGTCGACCTTAGTTAAAATGGACCGAAAGCGTTGCACCAAGGAAAGGCGAAAGTGCGCTGTTTGAAGAATCATAAAGGAATCAGCCAGGTTCTTTTGCGAAGCATCTCAATGGGGAGGAAAGCGGGCGAATGATTCCAGAAATAGGCATACGGTATTGCGTACTACTCGTCCCACTTCAACCTCAAGGTCTCTCGATATCTTTTATACTTGCTGAGCGGTCTTAGCCTCATAGCTCGGAACACGACAAGTGTGCTCCACCTGTACAATAGAAGCCCATTTCGATCGTGTCTTCATATAATATGCGCTTTATCGGCTAGACCCCCGTCCAAAGGGCCACTCCTCGAGTGCCCCGAAGTGGAACAATTCGATGGCCGTCAGAGTCTACAATGACAGTCTCTTCTACATCCCGAGGCCAGTTGGATTTTGGAGATTTTGTGCGCGGTCGCCGGCCGGAAATATTTCGCAACATCTCACTACTTCTATGCCACCATTTACGGAGCTTCTCGATCAGTCGTCGACCTTGAAACGTGCTGTTGGACATTCCTTTTGCGTTGCTAAACGTTCTTCGACGGGAACTCAAGTCCCCTACATATTCGTTGCCGTCTTCCAATGGGTCGTCTTGTGTATCTCGAGTCGGTAGCGTATTGTTCTCGGTGGGATTAGCCTCTGCCAGGGCAACTTGGCTACGGTTGGCCATTACAAATCGAGCTTTCAGCGAGTTCTTAAGCTTCGATTTCCTTGGCATGACGAGATGGCTCTCGTCCTCTGAGGTATCGTCAGACCAGCGGCTTCTGCTGAAGTTGGTGTCCACGGGCGGCTTAAGGGCTGAAGTTGGATACCTTTCACCGGCCTCATGTGTTTGGTCACCGCCCGAGACGTGTATTGGGCCGGTGGGGAAGCCATTTGTGTCGAAGCATGGCGTTGTAGGGAGGCCTAGGCGTTTATTGTAAGTGAAGAAACTTAGACGGCTTTGGCGACGCGTGTGGGCAGGGCTGCCGTCCATTATAGGCTTATACAATGGTGTTTTGGGTGAAGCAAGTGACCCTATGGGGGCAGGCGTATTCGCGTCGGGCGATTCAGATACACGACCACGTAGTGGAGATGGCCCTGGGCGTGGAGAGCCCCTGAGAGTTGTAGGGCCCGGAAGAGAAATATCAATTGAAGGGATTGTCGCCCATGGGTAGTTCTTGTCACTGTTCCAAGGACGTGTGTCCGTGGGAGTCGGCGTACTTCTGAGAGATCGCAGTGACCTCTTGGAAGAAAGCCGAGATTCTAGCGAAGGACGAAGATCGTGATGGCCAGCAGACAGAGAACGGGCCCGAAGCACAGAGAAAGAGGGGGTTTCCAGCTCGGCTACCACATGTGTCCCAAGCTGCACTCTGTTGACGTCCCCGGCCTTGGTAGCCCCGGGTTCTGTGGCTATTTCTTGGGTCACCTCACCATCAACGCCAGCACCAGCGCCCGCGCCCTCTTTCTCTTTACCAGTTAACTCTTGGTATAAATCATCGTCCACTATAACAAGGTGAGGAGATCCTGGCATTGGCCTCAATCGAGCGGATGACCGCTTTGACGTAGGACCCACCTCACTGAGCTCCTCAAGTGCATGCTCTATGATTTCATCGTCCAGATCCGGCTCGCTATCCTCTTCAAATCTAAACTCTTGTCTCAAAGAAGGAACCCACTCCGATAATCGCTGTGTCAAGCCACCAACTGATGGAATAGTGAGCTTATCAATCTCGGCAAGGAGGTCACTAGGCGTGCATGGGCGATTTGCAGACACAATATCCATGATTGTGGTTGTTTGAACAGCATTGCACACCTTATCGGGTGCATCTAGGCCAGCGAAGACGCTCCGATACTTTTCACGATACTCCCCAGCAGTAGAAGGCCGTGGCGGACTAGTATGCGAAGGCACTTGAATATCCATCAACCCAGTATCAAAAGACCGCGATCGCACACGTATACCCAAGGCCTCACTCAACATTTTAGCCAAGTCCATATTGCTAAAGTTCATTGACGGGAGCCCACGAGACTTTGCGAGGCTGCTCTTGTGGATCGATTGTGCAGATGGAGCTCTTACATGGAAAGCGGGTTCATCTATCGATGCTCTGACCGGAGACAAGCCGCTGACAGGAAATCTGAAGCTGCTGTTTTTTAAATTACTCGCACTAGTATTAAGACTTGAGTCTTCATGTGATTCCTCCTTGACGTCTGGAAGATGATGGGGCGAGTACTTGTTATAAGTGGAAAGTCTTAAATCAGTCGTGCTGTCATCTTGACCACTGTTTCGACAAGATTGAGGGTCAAGAGGCTTTACGGGAAGGAGGTGCACGGACTTGTGACCTTGCCAGACCAAATCAGTCGTAGACTGACTCTCGCACCGATGGTTATCTGTAAATTGCGGCAACGCGACCGGCGAAGACTGAACGCGACTTGCCTTGGTTGGGTCTTCGACAGAATAAAGAGAGGAAGGCTCTAGAAGTGGAACAACGGGGGTACTGAAGGAATGCTGATGCGCCGAATGCCCACTACAATTGATCGGTAGCTGTGCAAGTGGGCCACGTTCTCCGCCTTCGAATTTTGCTATTGGTGTCGTAGGTCCAATATGACTAACTCGACT